TGGGGGACTTTACAGAAGCCTTGTTTCAAGCAACCATCATGAGAAACAGCAGAGTGAGTGTAAAAAACACGGAGGTGTAAACTAGTTGTGCCAACTTTCTACAATGTTATATACTGACTCAGCAGTACAAAATGACAAACACTTCATCACACGGAACATGGGTGAAATTCACATATTCACATATAATTTTCAACCAGAAACAAGAGTACATACTGTAGGTTTGCATTTATATGATGTTTAAAAATAAATTTAAAATGTGTTGATCATGATCAGGGTAGGTATGTCCTGGGGTTACTGCCTGGAAATTAGCTGCAGAGGGACTGCCGGGGATTTACATCTGGGTGGTGGTAACACAGTGTTTGTAAGAAGGCAGCAGTCTGCACATGTCACATGTGTGCACTGCACCGCAGGTAAAACAACCATCACCTAAAACTAATGCAAATATTATCTTTCCATCATGCAAGTGTCCATCCTTGTTGTCTCCCTGTGAGTCTATCTATATTTTAAATAGAAGTAACTTCAATTTTGTATGTACAAGAACATGCTCACACTGCTCTCTTTTAACTGGGAGAATCATGATAGCAAATTCTGTAAAAGACATGACAAGAAAGGTGAATTAAAATTCAAACTCTTTCGAATACTGTTGTCAAAATATCACACGGTACATTAGTAATCTTGATTCCGAGGTTTGTTTTTTTTTATTTTACTAAGTTTGGGATACATGTGCAGAATGTGCAGGTTAGTTACACGGTATACATGTGCCATGGGGGTTTGCTGCACCTATCAACCCGTCATCTAGGTTTTAAGTCCCACATGCATTAAGTATTTGTCCTAATGCTCTCCCTCCCCTTGCCCCCTACCCCTGACATGCCCCGTTGTGTGGTGTTCCCCTCTCTTTGTCCATGTGTTCTTATTGTTCAGCTCCCACTTATGAGTGAGAACATGCGGTGTTTGGTTTTCTGTTCCTCTGTTCGTTTGCTGAGGATGATGGCTTCCAGCTTTATTTATGTCCCTGCAAAGTCATGAGCTCACTCTTTTTTATGGCTGCACAGTATTCCATGGTGTATGTGTGCCACATTTTGGTTTTGTAAAAGAAAGACGGGGGTTTTGATATGGTGGTGGGATAAGGGCAGGATCCCTACTGTTTAGGGTGCTGCTGGGGACAGTC